ATAACTTGTGCCCTATACTGATAACAATACCTCGTGTGTGCCTACCTGCGCATTATATTAGTATAATCTCTAAGTATAAATTCCTCAGTATCATATACCTGACTTTCTTATCAGTGTATCTCTCATAGGTAATTTTCTCGTCACGACAATTATAAATCAGTGTCCTTATAACGCAAAACTTATTTTTTGCCGTTTGCACATCCTAATTTGTTCTAAGGCCAACTGTCCGAAATTTTTATATCAAATTTTTGTTAGTTTAAACTTCCATCTATGAAATAAGCGCCAATATGTTCACGTTAATGCACTGTAATGAATGAAATACGTTATTGTGAACATAATGATGTTTATGTTATAGACGAAAGTTTATACTAAAATAAATGTTTTTGAGGTAATTCATCAGAGAACACTTTGGACGCGCACGCATTCAATTAACCGTGGCTTTAAAATGCTTGTAACATGGGAACTAATCTGTCTTTCATCTGGAGCATATTTAAGTTTTATCTGGAAGTGATATTTTCTATGTTGAAGTCCATATTTATTACACTCATTGCTTTAGTTTTATCTGGAGGATCATTGCAGCCGAAATATATGCTGCTGAGATTTCGGTTACACACCAATACAAGACTATTTTTATGGTGGTCTGTAAGAAGCCTGCCTGGAATGGTGGTTTGGCCTTCACTATCCAGTGTAGGGATGCATGCTAAAAATCTGCCGCGAGATCGAGCCCAATCTGCACCTCATTTTGCATGTATATTTTCTTGAACAGCTTCTCGTTTTTTTTTTTTTTTTTTTTTTTTTTTTTTTAGAGAAAGTCCCATGTGTTTGTCAAAGACTTTCTGACTTGCTGAAGGACTACTGGAATCAGATTTGGTAAACGCAATGCTGGCTTCAGTTTTTTCTTTGTTTTTCTTTGAAGATGAAAAGAGAGCCAGTGAAATTTATAATTAGATCAGTCAATGGTAGATGTCTTCATATTAAGTGCTCTAGAATATTAGATATCCCTTTGGACTATATGGTAGCACAACTCAATTTCTTAAGAGCAGTTTCGAAGAAAAAGCACAACAGTTCGTTGGTAGACAAATATATCATTCTGCATTGCTCATCCTGATCATTTGCATGGAGTGCCTCTTCATCAATACCCGAGAAACATAATCTCTACTACAATCTTTATACAAGGTCTAGAGATAAGGCTATTGTAGGGAAGGATGCATGTCACATCCGCTCAAACAAGTTATGAGTTGAGCACGAAAATTCAGGCGCCGGTCTAAGTACTTTTTTAGACCTTGCTGCAGATTTGAGTCATATTCGGTGCAGTCCGACACTTTAACAGTTGGGCAGCTAGGCAGTTTACAGAGTGAGAAAAGATGATGTCGAGATGATAAATAAAAACGGTCCGACACTTTAACAGTTGGGCAGCGGGACATTTTACAGATGGAGAAAAGATGATGTCGAGATGATAAGTAAAAAGGTTTCGATGTGACCGATTTTACTCTCGGCATCTATACTCTCGATTTTCCCTTACATTCTCGTCTTTTCCTGAATCCATCCTTGGAATATTGAAAAGTTTAATTTTTAAAGAAGCAGATTTAATACCATTAAAAATATATGTGTTATAAATCAATGATTATAGTCGATTTTTTTTGTCGATTATTTCGACTACTTTACCCCAGATTAAACATTACAAAGGTGTTTTAAAAGTGTTGAAGTTATTATGTTATTATTAGATCTTATCACAAGACATATATTAGGCCCCCTATACACACTGAAAGGCATTACAAAGTTCATTGTATAAACTCGGTTTTCGAATTTCAACGCCGTTGGCCATGCAATACCTGCAATATAATTATTATTATTATTATTTTTTTTTTTGTTGATTTCTTTATGATGACTGGTGACTAATTGCGGTGATTTTTTTTTCTGCGATTATTTTTCACAACTATGAGTAGAGAAACGGCTAAACAGCGCATAATGGCTTTTAAACAGATGATTTAACGTTTAAACATTCGTTTGTACTAAGACAGACTATCACTGCATTGTCATCTACTGATTACAGATAAGATTTACTTCTTAATGCACCAATGGATACAATTTCCTAATGTAGGCTAAATCACACTAAGACGAGGGTGTTAATACTCTAAATTAATGGCATTCATTACGGCCTTGGGTGGAAAGACAGCAAACATATTACGCCTCCCAATACACGTTGACCTAGAGGTGTGTAGTGGTGAAAGTGCCGGTGGATATTTTTTTTTCTGTAACCGACTGAATTTGCAGCGTATGCGCGGAACCTTTAACTACTGTATGCACAAACTACACTGCTGCAGCCGATTTGTGCAGTGCCTGTGCACAATCTGGCTGGGTTTAAGTAGAATCACACTTATTAAACCATACTAGAAAAATATTGAAGATCTGGGAAAACATATTCGTCGCTGAAATTTTGATTTACATCCTTCACAGAAAAAAAACGAACAAACTTTTTACCGATCAACAAAATTCCCTTTATTCGAATATTCCAGTAGTTTTCTATAGTAGACAACTATGTACAATGTCTTCAAAAAAAAAAAAAAAAAAAAAAAAAATTAACCGATCGAATTGTCTTCCCTTCTTTCGAATATTCCAGTAGTTTTCTATAGTAGACAACTATGTACAGTAGCTGCTTCTACTGCTCTAGGCTTCTATTGTCTAAGCACAAGCTGGCATTCGAATTTTCTTCTTCAGTGTCCAAGAGTCTAGCTTTTTTATTTTCCTAGTAGACACACCTTGTCAACTACCCGCGTTTTATGTGTATTAAGGGATTTATTTGGATTCGTTTTAGTATGTATTAACTAAAATCCATTGAAATCCACAGGTGTATATTATGAGATCTAATCTGTAGTATATGCTCACACTAATCTGTTTAACAGTCAATTACTAGTAATTATAATCTATTAGGTAATATGTTTATCTTCGAATTGATGCCGTCAAACGTACCTTATCAAGTCGCTAGATTTTGAACTCTCATCATATAAATCATTGACAGCGAATGGAGGAAAATATTTGGATGTTTATATATATATATATATTATATATAATATATATATATATATATATATATATATATATATATATAGCTCGTGACTCAGTGAGTACTTACATTCGAAGTATCTTTTGATGTTTCAGGGTATTGCTTCGTAAAATTCGAAGCCGCATAGTTAGTAGTAATTAGCGTTTTCTATCTAGAATTCAAAGTAAATATCGAGTTACATAGTCCCCTAATCTGAAGTGTTTTTTGCATTTTCAACGAATATGCAGATAATCTAATAAAATTTTCGCTCATCAACAGGAATGGGGAATGATTTGTTCGCAGTCAGTGACGAAGGAGGCCCATGTCTCGACCAGCTGCCCGCACACACCAAATGGATGACAGCCGTTGACAGAAATGCAGTTAAGAACAACGAAAACGTGACAGTACAGTGTGTTGATTGGGATCCATCATAACCCATCATGTATATATTTTCGAAAGTTTGTATTTTACTTTCTTTGACTATCTGTACCTTTGTGAATTTTTCGAAAAGTCATTTCTTTGCAAAAGTTCAGTTGTTGTGTAAATTATTTGATTAGATAATGCAGGAGATTGTTAAATGTTGGGTTATATTATATTTTAAAATACTTTGTTCAGCAAGATATCTACATTTTCTGACCTTGAGAGTGCTGATTTACCAGTTACGAATTCGCTCGGAAAAAAATGCTAGAGATTGCATTTCCATGAAATAAACCGCACTTACAGAGCTCAGAAGCTTGAAGTTGTAAAACTGAAGTTTAAAGCCTTGATCACATAACAAAATTAAGAGATTAACTTCAGTAATTTGTATAATTTTATCCTCCCGAAATTTATTGAAATCGCTACGGTAATTGTGAACGGAATGTAAAAGCGAGTTTTATGATTGACCATTAGCTTCGTGTTTAAATTCAGGACATAAGTGAGATAGGCCTTGATTATCTCTAGAATACCTTTAAAATGTTCTTTTTAAAAACTTTCGGTTATACTTAAGCAATTGTATAAAATCGTAATTTGAGAAATTACGTAAACAAGTACTGAATGACCATGAGAAAAATTGCATAGTTTTCTGGTATCACAGACATCTAGAAAATTCAATTACTTAAGCTAAAAAGATCACTCAAAAATATATATGTATTTTACAATATTTAATGTTAATCAGTCATGTTATAACTATGATGGTTTATGTCTGAGCATATGTTGGAGGCCGTGCAAGGGAAACGGAGTTTAAAGCAATATTGTTTTCATTAAATGTTACCACAGCAGTATTTAGTCTTGGCTTAAAACCTGAGATAGTAGAAGTGTCGATGGACATGAATTGTTTTAATGAATTCCAAGCACAGTTTGTGTGTAAGAAAACCTCAGCCAAATATATGTATTTGTGTGACTGATCGATTACATATTTTTTATGTGGCGTATGGGAATCGTTGTATATCTGATTATGGGTTGTGGGTACCTGTTTAGTATTAATTCACAATGAATTATATTCCCCGGTATTTTTTTTTTACCCCACTTGTAATTTTATTGGATGAATGAGGAAAGTTGAATATTATATGTTATCAACCTGATTATATCTAATACATTTTATCTAGTAAGTTAATATAAAAGAGTATGGGATTCATAGTCTCTTGTTAATGGGATGTATTTTTAATTTTTGCGGTATCTAACTGCAGTGTGATTTATATATGGTAAACTTAGATATGGACAAAAATTACTGTAAGTAGATAGGTACCTGCAAAAGTTTTGGAGATGAACTGAGGTCATATACTCACTACATACTGCCTAATGCCTGTGATAATGCTATTTGATAATCATATGAATATCTAAAAAATAGTGATATGTGGAATGGTTTGTATTTTGCAATGTAATTTGTTTATTCAAATAAAAAAACAAGTCCTAAACTTATGGTGCTGGTTCATATCCACATCTTATGAAATTACAAAAAGGTTCCATTGGACCTGAGAGTGTATATACTGGCTGTTTTATTGTAACGGTGATTATGAATAAGAAGCTGTAGAAGAGGCTGTACAGGGAATGTCTTGTAAATATCTGAATTACCCAATAGTAATAGCATCATTGTTTTAATATCTTGTGACAAAATGTCTTTCCTTTGTGTATTTGTAGATGGGTGTCATAACATGTATAACATTTATCAGAAAAATTTCCTCAACTTCTAAATAAACATCCTTTGGCTTCTGTAATCTCAAGTGGGCAACTGCATAACTTTGCACTCATTAAAAGCATATTCTTAATAATTGTCAATTAAATTAGGAAGCAAAGTCAGCATCTCTCCTTGAGTCTCCAAAATACCATGTTATGACTGCATATTAAAAGATTTAGATATCACAAATCTTAATAATAATAATGATGATATGATGGTAATGATGACAGTGATAATAACAATACTGATATTGATAAGTGATATTATTAATAATAAAGTGTAAGATAAAATCAATATTTTTTTTTTGCAACTAACAATAACATTAAGGTGCTTGGAACTGATTTCAGAAGGAGTCTCATGGTTTCCTTAATATAAGCAGTACATATAGACAATGACTACAATAATGTATCTTTCCAAATAACATATACTTGGAAAGCAAATAATTATACTGAATACAGCCTCATCTGCATATATGTGTGTGTGTGTGTGTGTGTGTGTGTGTGTGTGTGTGTGTGTGTGTGTGTGTGTGTGTGTGTGTGTGTGTGTGTGCATATATGTAAAAATTTATATATGAAAGCATTTCTATAGTTTTGTGCAACCTACATTAAGATTTTATTGTGGTCTTCATTGAAAATTTTGTATCACACTACAATGAATTTGTTATTGTTTTTTTAAAGACTGCTTTGAGAGATCACTATTATCTACCTTTGTGCATAGATACTGATTCAATAGGTGTTGTTTTTGTGATTAAAAATAAGTCAGGAAGTTGTGATTGTACAATATATTTAGTTAAAGCTGCACCACTCTTCAAGTTGACAAGAGTAACGTTGCATTATAAACATACATAAAGAAATACTGGAAGCGTGCTCGTCAACTTCTAAACATAGTAATATCCAACATATCTCTGAGAAAAGAGGTGACAAAGAGAAGGAATAATTTCCATAAAGTATGATATTACTTGACATTTCAACTGTGTGTTCTTTGGGATTATATAAATAATCTTACATCATAAAATATATGCTACCCAGCTTTCTAATAATTCTGCCTATGGGTATTTAGTCACTGGCTCTACCCATCTAAGCATTTACAAGTTCTTAACATTTTATCCTGAAGAAAAAACACTGTTTAAAATGTCACAATTTTACAGAAATATATTACCTATGTTTGCTGATATTTTCTGTTGAAATTAACTGTTCTTTATTGTGTATTATAAAAGAAAAATTGTAAATAAAAAACATAATTCCCTAATACATTATAACATTGTAATATATTCCGTGAAAATAAAAAGCAAAAGAAAAAAACTATGTTCATGAAAATTACCCAACATTCTGGAAAACCTGAGTGCATTTAAAGAAATTAGTAAATTGTAGAAGAGTATTAAAATGACAAATGTATAGTACTAGTACATAATAATGAATTTAGTTCCAAAAAAACACTGCTTTCCCAGTCTTGTGCATAGGATTATATGTAAAAAACAAATTAATGAACAATAAAAAACACAAAAATTATCATAAAACATGTTAATTTGCAGGATTTCTGCTATTATAAAAAATAAAACATAAACCTTCTACAGCATAAGCATATATTTCCACAATTAAAATCAACATATTAAAATATCATAATTATTGTTAAAGCTGCTTTCTGCTTCCTTATTAGATTTCAAGACAAAATTCACATAAAAATGGTCTAAGTCATTCACTTGCACTTTTTCACTTATATTTTCTAACCAGGAATGCCATCCTAATAAATACAAAAATATATACAAATCCGACCCGGCATCTCAGAATACAACAAAAATGAAGCAAAAGCCAAACTGCTGCATGTTAGAGGTGGCTTTTGTGGTATCACATTGGTCACAGAAGTTAAGGTCAGACAGGTCAAGTGGAGAGCAAAGAAAATATTGACAGCCAAGAGTAAAATTAAGGAAAGTCTCCTTAGGTAGGAGGTCAGGAAGGTCAAGTGGAAAGTCTGAAAAGATTAGAAAATTGGAAATGTCAAGAGAATCAAGAAGATCAAACAGGTCTTGGAGGTGGTTAAATGGGAGATCAGGCTGACTTCTCATCCCGTTCCTCCTTCAGGTTGCATGAGAGGTCACACCAGTCAGGCACTCGGTCATTCACCAGGAACTGGTCGCGGGGGAGTGTGCGCAAGGCCACTGCCTCTGTCCCTCCAAGGATGGCACCTGAGGAGGAAAATAGAGAAATTGGTAAATGTGCATAATAAAGATATAGAGAGAAGTAAACATGGAATCATTAAGGGGGGAAAAAATCACTGTCTCATATATCAATAAGAAGAGAATATT